AACTTCTTGAAGAACTAATGAAGTGTGGTGTAAAACTCTTAAAACCAGATCCTTTTTTCCAAAATTATAAATTACGCTCTGCAGATCATCCGTTCAGTGTGCGATCGTGGGCTGCAATTCATCGCTGTCCCGCCGGGATGATGGAGCTGGGCTGAGCCAAGGATTTGATCCGTCGTACACATGCAGACCAAATGGTCATGGTAGCTTTTCAAATTGATGAATAGTCTCCAGGATTTGGGAGGTTTGGAGGAAATGGTGTTTTGTCCTTGGGCTGAAGATGATACATGTAAACAGGCATCTTCCTGTATGTAAACTTTGCCAACTGATTGTAAATAACTGGAAGTGGATTTGTAACCAGAAACAAAAGGTGCTGGCAAATGCTTAACTGGAACTTATTTGTTTTATAATAGTTTATGGTTAATAATGGTTTATATTCATCTCAGATTTTTTGAGGATTTTCTGTGCAGAGCATAAGTTGTTGGGTTTTGCTTTTTTCAAAACCAAAACTGTTGAAGTGCTGTCTGGGACTTGGTAAACTTCTCTAATTTCTCTAAAGTACTGAAGCTGTCAGGGCAACATTTTCCATGAGGTTGTTATTTTTAAAATAATAAAAAAAAAAAAATCAGAGCTCTGGAATATGGTACAAGGTAAGGGAATTTTTGCAGAGGGTCCCTGGGTGTTTCTTATCACACTGTCTTATCTGATGATCCTCTCGACATCAGAGCATCAAAAACTTCTGCGTGCTTTTGGTATGGAATTGCTGCACTTGTGTATAAGAAAGCGTTCAGCTGTGCGCTGATGTGGTGTGTGAATCTGTCGGCTGACCCTGTCGGTAACTCGGCTTTTGCGTAACGATCTCTTCTCCAAAAATAAATTAGATAACTGATACTATCCTTTTTTACAAACGAAGAAGTCAGAGCACAAAAGTTATGGTGTGCTTGTAATGATTTACCCCTGGAAACCTGGAATGTAGCCTGAAAGCAGTTGAAAATACCTGCTTATTAATCTAGCAATAAGAACCTGAGGGAATATTTATATCCATCTGTGAAGCCACTTTTTAACTAGGACACCTAAGATTTCACTGGGGGAAACCATCTGCCTGGATCACAGTTTATGGCAAATATTTTCCAGTTGTTTGAGCACAGAGAATCTGCTTGGTAGTTTTATTTCCCTTCAAAAGCATTCACAGAGATGCCGCTCAAAGGCATCCATCCCATTCTTCGTTTGCTCTGTTCTGGTTTAGGTATTTTTGGCATGTGTAGTGCAGAAGATTTAAGGTGAGATCCTTCCAGCGTCCTGGGATGCTAAAGTCTGTTATGGTGCCCTGCAAAGGGAATATAAACCACGTTTGTGAGGCGTTTGGCACCGTATAACATAAAAACTAGACGTGAGGATGGTTTTTTGCTATTTAAGACAGGGAGGGTAGGATTGTCACCATTACAGCACCAGATGTAAGAGGTTTTCCAGACTTCATCAGCTGTGCTGATGTTCAGGCCGGGTGAGCGTTGACCCTGGGAGTGGGTGCTTGGGTTCAGGTAAAAAAGGTGAAAGTGGGGAGGCAACGTGGTGCTTTGTCAGGTGTAAGAGATACCTGTGGAATTGTCGTGCAGGTAATTTGGTAGGTTAAATGCATTTAATTGATAGAAGAACAAACTATGAGTTCAGCATTTTCCTTCCTTTGGGCAAACAGTAAAGTTGTGTGTGTGTGCGTGCGTGCATACATACATATAACCTGGGTTAAACTGCTGCATAACTAAACTGTAAAACCTCTCATTTCTAATTGCTTTGTTTTCCTGTGTTCCAGAGCCTAGCCCAGCTAGAGAACCTGTGCAAGCAGCTGTATGAGACCACAGACACTGCGACACGGCTCCAGGCAGAGAAAGCCTTGGTTGAGTTCACCAACAGTCCAGACTGCCTGAGCAAGTGCCAGCTTCTTCTAGAAAGAGGGAGTGTATGTAAAACAATATAATTGTCCAAAATGTGTCTTGGTATTTTGGGCATCGATAAGGGAAATAGCCCCAAGGTCTGGTATGCGGTGTTTATATTCCATACCCCGTATGCTCTCGTGTATCTCAATTTGTGCCAAAAAAAGCACTGGCTCCGATGGCTAATTATGCTGCCGCAGTGGTTACTACAAACGGTTGTCAATTCTAATGTCTTGTGGGCCTTGCTGCATTCTTCGCAGGCTACCACCCAGAAATATCAAGCTTGAAGTTGAAAACATTATTATGGCAGTGGTATTTCATAGACTGTGGGAAACGCTGCCTCCTGTATAGGCTTTGGGGAGAAAGTGATGTGTGCAGAGAGGTTTGTAGGGGATAAAACCAGCAGTGTTCCCTCTGGAATGTTTCCTTGGAAAATTGCCCTTGCTATAGTGTTGTCTTAATAATCCAGAAGTTTAAAACAGGGAAAATTAGATCATGTGCTTTAGAATTAGTGTTACAGAAAGGATGTGAAATATGCCAGTGGTAAATCCTGGCTGACTTCTTTAGCTTTCTTCTTTTTAAGTGGCCATTTGGTTTTTACTTTTTATCAGCACAAATAATGTTTGAAATGGCTTTGCCACGTGATCTTGCAAGATTTGACTTTTGGCAGAATGTGTGTCCAGCTTTCGTATCTATCAGGTTGGAGCCTTGTTCACAAAAATAGGAAACATTAAACAGCCTGTTGTAAAGAGTGAGTCCTCGATGAGGAGGAGCTGGCAAAGGGAGGGGAAGAGTGACATTGAACAGGCTTAGCAAAGTTGCACAAAGTGAATTATTTAACTTTTCATTAAATTTGAAGTCTAGTGAATTCAAACCAAACTGATTTGAAGCTCTTCTGATGGGAACTAGTGAACTGGTTCACCTGAGGACAAATAAATTCTTTTTTTTTAAGGAAAGTTCCTAAGGGCCAGTTTCGTTCTCTGCCTCTCTGAGCCTTTCCAGAGGCTTGGGGTTTTTTTTGTTTGTTCAGTCTTGGATCTGACTTGCTTTATGCCTGACTGTCCTTGGGAATGTTGGAATAAATCGGTTTCCTGCATCTTGGGTATGAAGCTTTCTGCAGTACTATATATTGCAGAAATTAGCATGCAAAATGCTTGTCATTTCCCTGCCTGTAATTTATGGAATTGGGTGCAGTCAGGGTTTTTAGTTGGTTGAATGCCATCATTTGTGTCCCTGAATTAGATTACAGTTCAGTGGTCTGTGTGCTGTTCTGTAAGAAATAAATTTTAACCTGTATTTAGTAATCAGGTGGAAGTTGTAAGTGCTTCTTAATGTAGACTAACGTACTCCTATGGCTCAGAGGGCTACTTGTCTTTCTCAAGCCTGGCGTTTAAGGTAACTTCATGCAGTTTGACTCTATTTGCAGTTTTACTCGCACCTTCAGTGGCGGTTCCGTTGTCTTCCACTCTTTAAAAGCTTTTCCCTTCTTTCTTGAACACTTTCTTCAAGTATTTGGTTTACTTTAGTGTCTATAAAACCTAGCATAAATGCTATGTATTTAGACTTATCAATTAATGCTTTAAACTCAAATTTCCAGAGAGCAATTAGCTTAAAATCCAGCATTGCTGCTTGATCTTCTGAAGTGTGCGGTAAATTTCTGTTTGTGTTTTGTTTTGTTTTATTCTTTACAGTCATCCTACTCCCAGTTATTGGCAGCTACATGCCTTACAAAACTCGTGTCGCGCACAAACAACCCTTTACCATTGGAACAACGAATAGATATTCGTAAGTATAAGACAATTTTTTTTCTAATCAAACTAACGTGAATGTTTGTCATACGGACTTTCATCCATGGGTGGGAGGTTTTCTGCAAGTTACTGTGCCTTACACTTTGGACATCCTAAGGTATAGGATGCCCAAAAGGCAACGAAACATTTCTCTTAAGTGGCATCTTCACCTATATCATTAGCTAACAGAGTTCAAGGCAAAACATACAGACTTTTTCCAGATGGAAGGGAATGACAACTCTGTGGACTTGTGAATAAAGCAGTTGGATTTGATCAGTTTCTTTTGGAGTGTAAAATATGCATGGTGCTTGCCTCTTCTGAGGACATGCTTTCAAAACTGAAAATCCTTTATGAGCCTCTGAAATATCATTTAGAATATTTCCTAAAGCAGCAGACAGTCCGTCACAGTGCTCTTTCCTGGACAGTGGTCGATACTTCCTTTCCTCCAAGGAAGGAGTCTGAATGCCGTTCAGTCTGCTTTCTTTTTTACAAATGATGTGGTGGATGATCATCCCCGAGGCAGGGTCTTGAAATATTTTCAGTTTTTCTTGCTATTTACATGTGCTCACAGAGGATTGGACTTAATCTGATAATAGAAAACAAGTTAAGCTTGTGGGGAGGAACTCTCACCTGTCTCTAACCACTTTCCAGGTCTGTTCCACAGCTTTAGTGCATTAAAGGCACAAGTAAAAGGTCAACATTTGTATTAACCCACTACTATGCTGATTTTTTTGTTTTATAAACAGCTTTCAAAAGGATGCTTTTTCCTATCAGTGTTACCATCTTGGCTCCATCTGCAGAGTTTTTTGTCTCTTCTCGTGTGTTTCAGGGAACTATGTGCTCAACTACCTTGCCACTAGGCCAAAGTTGGCAACGTTTGTCACACAAGCACTAATCCAGTTATATGCCAGAATCACAAAGTTGGGCTGGTTTGACTGTCAGAAGGATGAATATGTCTTCAGGAACGTGATCACAGATGTCACAAGGTTTTTACAGGTCAGATTTTTTTTTTAGATGAATACACACCTTGTGGGATTTGAAAGTCCGTGCATTTTCAGTTATTGTTTTGCACCTTAGTAGCCTCTGTCCTGTCTTTCATCTGTGCGTTTGTTGATTGAATGGTAGCTACCAAGGCTAAGCCACTGACAGCTGGCCGCACAGGTCAGTTTAAAGTGTGTTGGGGCAGGGATTTATTAGTATTCAATGGTAAGACCTATCTTTCAGAGTTTCAGTTGCTATTCTTTCAAGCTCTTGAGCTTAAATACACACTTAATGTCTACGAGGGAAGTGTGTGCCATGCTTGAGTTGCTTTCATTCACTGCAAGGGTGATATATCCATGAAAGTAAATGTTTGATATTTAGCTGAGTTGTTATAACAAAATGTAGCTTAAAACTAGCACATTCCACAAATGTTATTGTTAATTTTCTTTAGAAGTCCTGACTGTTGTTTCATAAATGTACCTGCTGTCACCACAGTAGAGGGTTTCATTCCCACCTCAAAAGACTGTATAGGTAGAGGGTTGTATTTTTATCAACACTTGCCTCCAAACTGAAACTTCCTCCCAGAGAGATCGGTAAATCCTGTAACACTATGAATACTGATTTATTTCCTCTGAAATACATCCCAAAAATCAAAAGTTGCAGGAAGACAGTAAAAGAGATCAAAATGACCGGTAACTCTTCCCAGCATGGGAAAGGAGATGTAATAGGTACAAGGCTTTAATTCTGGTGTGGTAGAGTGTGGGCTCTCAGAAAATAGGCATTTACAGATGTCTGCGGTGAAGTAGGATCTAGAAGGTATTAAGAAATTTAAAGCTCATGTTCCTTTCTGGGCTGGTAGTAGTGTGCAGGTGCTGTCAGCTGAAATTACCAGAGCTAGAGTCCTCATTCTCCCATCTTGTCACATGAGGAATGTGTGCTTTTTAATCAGGAACCTAATTAAATGGTGTGAATATCTACTTGCTGTGTTCAGTTTGAGATTGTCTGTTCCCGTTTGCTCAAGTTACTGGTTCTGGCTGCTAAAGTGTATGGGAGGCTGGACCTTATTTTAAAGACATGAGTGCAGCAAGGTTTTCCAGTGTCTAGACATTATCATGTAAATATTGAGACTGTTGTCAAGAGGTGGCTCCAATAAAGAAGAAGACAAGGTTCCAAGCCTAAATACAATTTAATTTCTCTATTGTGGACGAGTTCAGTCTTTGAAGCTGGAGATCAGGGCAATTTGTGCAGAAGGTGCAGAGCAAGGTGGAGCTAGGAAAGGAAACATCATTTATTAGTTACAGAACAGAAACTGGGGCAAAGGAACAATACAGGTTGTTTCTCTTAAACCATTTGATAAATGGATTACCGTTTCTAGTGAAGAGGTATCTGTAACAGACTTAATTCACAGTCGGCCCCTTGTTGGCAGCGACAAGCGCAGGCTGTGAAGAATGGACTCCCTTCACTGGGAGATAGGCTGTCCTTCTTGGCAGGAGGGCCATGGGGCAGGCGCGTGGAGAAACTTGGTCAGCTGCTGCTCATGTTGTTCAAGGTCTGTAGTTTTAAAAGGAGGGGGAAAAAAAAAAGTTTATTTACCAGAGTTTTCATCTGGCAACTTCAATAACTCATCCTAATGTTGCAGAAGTTTCCGCATGTTTTACCACAGCCTCTGTTAAAATTAAACAAACTGATTTAAATCCAAATAAATCTTTTCAGAGTGAGAACATAACACAAAAATTTTGATTAAACTGTTAAATAAAAGGAGCCTATTTTTATTAGCCCGTGTTACCGATCTCTTTAAAACCCTTTCATTGTTAACAACATCGAGTATTTTAAAATGACATTTTAAATTCTCTGCTCGGTATTGCTCACAGGCTTTTTTTCCAGTCACAATACTACAAAGATAAAGCATTTCTAGGCAAAGATGTCTAGAAACCTTCCAGGCAGAAAGGTCTTTGAGTATGATGGTAAAGTTTAATGAAAACATCCTGGCCCTGCTAACTGCTTTCCCTGTCCCTTTCCTCCCTCAGGATAGTGTAGAACACTGCATCATAGGAGTGACAATCCTGTCCCAACTAACTAATGAAATTAATCAAGTAAGTGCTACAGCCTTCCTCAGTGAAGTAAGTGTCCAATTTTCTCATTCATATTGTTGTGTCCTGCTGTGTCTGTGCATTGTTTGGGGTTTTTTTTGGTGTGGGGGGAGTGTGTTGTGGTGGGTGTTTTCTTTTTGTTTTTGTTTTTTACGCAATCATGTACTTTTGTGATAAGATGCTGAAACCCCCCGTCCTGAAGAATTGTTTTGTTTCACTGGCATCTTCCATCTTCCCTCATATTTTAATGTAATCTTCTGAAATGATAAAAGGAAAGAGCAATGCAAAGCAACTAGCCAAGCGTACCTAGCGAGGACACAGCCCCAGGCGTGAGGATGTCCCCAGCACCTTCTGTTGTCGATCCCTGTGCGTTGTTTCAGCTTACAGCATTCTCGTGCCAAGAAGTGAATGGAACGTGTCCTCCTCCATATTGACCACGGAGATGAAACAAAGAGGATTTGTCAAATTGTGCAGATTTTTAAAGCATCCTTTTCATTCAGTACTAAATTTCATAGCGTTCCCAGCAGGTAGTTCTCAAATTCTGCTGGTTTGTCAGGGCTGAGTGCCGAGTCCCTGGCACAGCACCCGGTTGTGCTGGCTGCAGCAAGTCTTTCCAGGTTAGTTAGTTCGGTGGTTTGTAGAGCCCTCATAAGCTGTGCTGCCTCTCGGTATTTATGTTGAAAGCTGAACAAGTGGCTTTGCTTGGTGCTATCTAAGCTTCCTAATCGATCAGGCAGACTTTGCTGTAGCACCCTTGATGGCTACCACAGTCCTAAGACAGCACAAGGGTTGCTATGTGTGTAAACGCCTCTAATTTTGCTCAGAGGACTGGGTGTAATTAAGTTTTTTGGATTTTAATATCTTGCTAAGGAAACTAACCTTTTCTTTTGCTGGTATATTGACTAATCCAGGCATTGGAATGGAGAGATCCTTGCATGGAATTTGAAGGATGATTACAAATTGTTTTCGGAAGTGGAAATGGAGGTTTTGTCCTGGCCAGGGCAAAGCACTGATTTTTTTTCTGCTGGACTTGAAGTTCAGCACTTTTGAACTCTTTGAGCCTTGTGCTATAATCTGAATGGCTTCTGCATCCATTTCAGATCCAAAATTCACTTTCATTCTTCAAGCCTGGCCTGATCAGTAATCCTAACGCATAGCTCTCTTCCTAACTCGTAGCATGTCTTGTTACTGTTACCATTTCCTTGCCCAGGCTTTTGTACATCCCTAATTCCATCTCTGCAGAGGGCCGGTCCTTCACTTCCTTGCATCAAGGATGAAAGCAAGTCTGTTTACCTCTAAATTAGTTATGTGTCCATCAGAGTCCTTGTAGAGGGCTGCAGCTTCTGCTAGCAGGAGAATGCTCAGCACAGAGTCTCTACAGGTTCATACTAAAATAAGCAATTAAGTTAAAGACTGATCAGAAATCTTTTCCTAATATTTTGGATACTGAATCTGCCACAGTTTACTACTCATTCTTAAGTGTGCTTTGTGCCAGCAATTGCACAGGGCTGGATTCTGTGACTCATCTTCGAAAGTCTAAAACTGCCATTACTTGCAAAATAATAAATCTGCCAACATGCCCACTCCTTAGAGTGGGGTCATGTACATGTACATAGAAAAAAACCCCAAAACCCCCTTGTGGGGCTTCGCTTCAGGGGTTTTTTTTTTTTGATAACGATTTAAACTTCCAATGACATTGCATGAGAGCCGAATTTTCTAGAGCTCTGTTTACTAAAGCTTTTATTCCAAAAGCTCACAGTACAAATAAAATAGAGTGTTAGTAACTGTTCTGAAGTATCATTTTCATCCTGTAAGTACTGCACAGACTTGCCTGGAGGTACTGAGTGTCCGCTGTATTGTAGAAGTTCACCGACTTAAGCCACGTGAAGAAAAAGGAAAAGCTCATTTGCCACAAGCCCAGAAATAAGTGAGATTTGTAATAACCATGGAGAGAGTAAATAAAGCTCATTTTCTTAAAGACTCTGAAATGGAATAGCACGAGCTGAGGAACGGTAATTCAGTCGTTAGAGCAGCTGACCAATTTAGGTCCAGTTCTGATCTGCCACCCACTGCTGGGTGATGCAGGGCTTCTCTTTCTCCCCTATAATGTCAGAGACTCAAGTGCTTGCATCCTCCGTGGGGTTGTTGTGCAGGTTAGTATGTTAAAGTGAAGTGGTTAGAGCAGTACTGGTTCCTGCAATACTGGCTGAGATGTGTACGTATTTAAGGTTAACAGAGGTAGGTTAACAAAAGCATAAAGAAAATGGGGATTTGTGTTGCGTGCCTCTGCACTGGGCTGCCAGAAGGCTCTGTCCCAGATGCAATGCGATAACCGACTGCCCATCAGATAACTCATCCCGGGCAAGTGGAATTTTGCCAGCCTGTGTTCACATAAATGACAAAGATGTGAAGTATCACTTCACTTTTTTCCTTTTCTTAGAAAGCAGTCGACGTAAGTTGTGACACATAAGTAGTGACATAAGTTGTGCTGGCCCATGCTAGAACGCATTGAGTGAATCAGTGGGAGACTTTGTTACCCAGTGTGAAGCAATATGTGTGTATATGCCTCTTAGCTCATATGTCAGCTTTTTATTCTGATACGGTGAGAGGTCCAGAACTGGAGTTTATAATAGATACAGCAAAGTCCAAACTGGCTGTCACTGGTTAACTCTCCTTCTAGTTTTCTTCTCATCTGTGCAGGTTCAGGAGGGGAATTATAATTGCTAGTAGTTGACCATGTGTCTGCCCAACGGCTTCAGGTAGGATTTAACTCTCAGGAGTTCGGAGCACTTTAGAAAGCAGCGTTCAAGTTTCTAAAATGACTTAAGTGCTGTCGAAAATAACTGCTGTTGATCCTACTTTGGAAGAGATTTAAATGAGAGTTTGAGAGTAAAGCCAACCCTGCTTTCTGGCAGGGGTACACTGAAACTGCATTGTAAGTATTGCTGTAGGCGGGAAGTCCTGTGTCATCAGCCAGCAATATATGATTTTTATCTGCAGAAGAACCACTGTTCTGCAGCGGCAGCACGTACCACAGTGGCAGTGCATCCCCCTGGTTTAGCCTGGGGAGGGAAGCCTTGATGTCCTGGTGCTTGACGGGGTTCCTATGGGTTCTGCTGGTCTCCTTCCACCTCTGCCCATCAGTTCTAAGTGCTGATTTTCTCTCTGCTCAGGCGGATACCACTCATCCACTGACCAAGCACAGGAAAATAGCCTCTTCCTTCCGAGATTCATCCTTATTTGATATTTTCACACTGTCATGCAATTTACTGAAGCAGGTAAGGAAACCATCATTTGCCATCTTTCTTGGGCACTGTATGTCGGTGTGACAGACTTTGGGCTGAAGTCCTCTCTGATGTAACTCTCCTGGAAGGAGTGCTTTTGTTCTAAAAGCTGTGTTCTGGACTTATTTTTCAGGAAAGCTTTGACTTTGGTTTCTATTAAGGGGGAAAAAAAAATTACACAAATACAGAAATGCAACTCTTCTCAATTTTGATTGAACATACATGCCTGTACCATGAGGGTTGGGTTAAACTTTCCTGTCTTAAAGCATCAGGAAAGAGATGTTTGGGGCTTTTTTTACATTTTGAATATTTTTGATTTACAGTACTGGCAGAGAGGTTTCCTGTAAAATAAGTCCTTGTCTCTTTTTTTTTAACCCCAGTTTAAAACCCACACGGTGAGAGAAAAAATGCTAGTGAAGGTATGTTTAGTAGACTGAGACTAAAGGTTGTCCTTGATATTTTAACATATGATAAATACTAGACCATCTTGTGTTCCCCAGGTCTTTATTTTGTGTGGATTAGCACATGTGAGTTAACTTGCTTTAAAAATATTTACGTTGGGACAAGGCAGCAATGCTCTGCTAGTAGGGTTGTTTTTTATCTCCAAAAAAGCAGTTTTTCTTTCAGCTGACGTAGCACGTGTATATTTTGTAAGCAAGTAGATTATCTGAAGAAAATTCTTGATTCTGCATCAGGTTTCTTTTCTGAAAAGCTAATCTGGAGTTCGAATGGTGCCTGCAAGAACAGCCCTTTATGGGAAAATCTGCCCCAATAAACTGAGCAGCAGTAGCACAGATTTGATTACTTTAACTTTTATCCTTCCAGCTGAGGGAAGTGTCAAAGTTGACAAATAGCACAAAGAGTGAAAAGAAAATTTTATTTTAAAGATATTTCAAAATGAGCAGCTCTGGTTCTGTCAGTAATAAAGGTGGGTATGTGGGTGTAATTTAATCTTTTTTTCTCCTCCTGGTTTCTAAAGGAAGCAAGGCTTGTAAAATTATGCTAGTCATCCCTTCCCATGCACCCATCCTCCTGATCCGTAACAGCTCTGGTAACTTTTGAATTCCGTGGCTCATTTCAGGTGCATTTGATGGTCAGTTAGAGGTCTTGGATGTAAAAGGATTGCTCTAGTTTTGTGAAAAGAAGCTCCCGGGGAGGTGCAGGCAGGACAGGGTCTGTATAACTGCCCAAATTGTTGGAGAAACTTCAGCAAGTGGTGGTACTCCACCAGGAGACATAACCCAGACCTTGCTCACCTGGTGTCCCCAGGACTGTGCTCGTACTGTTGTCCTGTACGTGCAGCTCAGGCTGAGCCATTGTCCACACTACTGTTGCTGCGTGACCACGAAGACTTAACGACCAGAAAGATGTAGTAGCCTCTAGTTTTCCACCCTCACTCTTAATCATCTTCCTTTTGTTTCTTGGGGTGCTGTGCTTTAAGAAAGGTTGAAACGTTTTCTGTTGTCTCATGCAACATCCTTGTTTTCCTGTGATTAAGCACCTACTACCCAAGTTATGTCTCTTTTAATTTTTTTTTGGTCTAATAGTAGCTTTCTCAAGCTTCTGTATATAAAGCAGAAGTTTCCAAGGTGATCCTTTCGAGTGGGGAGGATTGGGCTGTGAGAAACTATCCATGTCCGTACAACAGGGTGCATTTAGGCCATTTAGGCAGCCCCAGAAGAGTAAGTCATTGTGATAGATACAGTGGAGAGAGTGAGGAAGACGTTCCAGCGAGCACTGGCACTGGTCTTGGCACTTCGGCACAGTGCAATGTGTTACTTGCACCAGATTTAAGCTGGAAGAAGTTAATTTTGTTTTTAGAGCAGAGCAGTGATACAAAGGATAGATGGACTGGCCTGTCCCTGGAGTACAGATCTGCGTGCTACATTTAAACTGCAGTGAGCTGACCTAGCATTTCGTGTCCGTCGAGTTCTTTGTGTTACTTGAGAGTATCCATGTTTTCCCTGCCTGAAGCAGAGCATTGTAACCGGAGCAGGGCTTATACGGATCATCTGTACAAGAAAAATGGACGCGCTCATTTCCATGTGAGGGTTAGGTGGAGCAACAAGATTCCCTGCTGCTAAGTGCTTGTCAGGCAGAAAATGTATTTGTGTGTTTAACCTTAATAAGAACTTCCTTATCTCCTGAATCTTACAGTGTAATTGCAAGCTGGCAATCCTGGCTGCTTTTCTCCTGTGCCGTACAAGCCGAGTGAAAAAGAAAGCACTGTCTATTTACCCATCTTGTGTAAATACTAAGCATGTAAATACACATGCTGTCTGTAAAAGTATGTGATAGCTGGGGTTGGTGCTTGTGGCACATGATCCTTATGATTGCCACATCCTGTTTAAAGTTGAATTACTGCCTGAAACTCAGCTGCCACCTTGATTTTTTTTCTTCTTTTTTTTTTTTTTAATCTGATGTATTTTATAGGCTTCTGGGAAGAACCTGAATCTAAATGATGAAAGCCAGCACGGTCTGCTCATGCAGCTTCTTAAGCTCACGCATAATTGTCTGAACTTTGATTTCATTGGCACATCAACAGACGAGTCCTCAGATGATCTTTGCACTGTGCAGATCCCAACCAGTTGGAGATCAGGTAATCTTCCTGGAGGAAGAGGGCTAATTACAGCATACCAGCTGAAAGCATGGGTGACTTGCTAAAGCCCTCTCCGTACTTAACAAATAAACTTTTGCATGCAATGCCAGATATAAAACTCAGCCTTTCCTTAGTGTGATTACAAAGGCAGTTCAGTTTGGGTTGGCTATCTTGAGCTGTAAAAACACTCCTCTACCCTTCTGGTCTTACACCTGCCAATTCAAGAAACAGTAAACTGTTTGGGTTTTTTAAATGTAAATAACAAATAACTTGGCACCTGTTCTCAACCTCCTTGCTGTTCTTGCCTGTCGTTTTGCAGGCAGTTTCACAGGTTGCGTCCTTCAAATATTTTCTTGTAATTTTGTCTTAGTACCAAGTACCAGTGGGTTTACTTTATTTCTAGGAAATATGTAAAAATCCTTTGGAAATTTTCTTATAGTGTGGCAATTCATGTGACAAATACACATGCCATTGTTGATAAGCATTAGACCTATGGAAAGCAGTAAATGGAGGTGTTCTCAGTAAACTGCTCCGTTCTGTTTCAGCATTCTTGGATTCTTCAACCCTTCAGTTGTTCTTTGATCTTTATCATTCCATCCCTCCTTCATTTTCTCCTCTGGTAAGTTCAGTGTTTATTTTCCTTACAGATTCCATTACCAGAAAGTGTTTGTAGGATTCATCTGGGAGACTTAATGTTGGTTAAAATGACATAGGCTGACTTCAAACAGCTGCCTTTGCTTTGACAGCACTGCCTCGTGCTACAGCGACAATGGGGAGGCTGGTCCCGTGCTCCTGCTTATAGTTTTGATGCATCTGCAAGTTTTAGATTTCACCTAAGAGCAGCTTGTTTGCTGGAAATCCAACCTACTTCTTTGTCCTTGCATAGCTTGGAGTCTGCCTGCTCGCTAGCCCTTTTTGAGGGATGTAGCTTATGTGATTTCTACTGTACTGCTAAGTTGATCGTAAAACCGTACTGCAAGTAGGTAGCAAGTCTGGGAGCACGACTGAGGAATGTAATTTCCTCCTTCCACACTTTAAAACTAGGCCACGTCCCAGTTGGATGAAATAGCCAATAGTACAACTGAACTAAAAGTTGGATTACTACTTATTGAAAAAAAAAAGCCTGCCAGGCATTTATCTATCCGATAAATATTTTTCATAATTAATGCTACAATGAAAACATGCCCTTTGGCTGGGGAGGGAAGGGTCCTTCAGAAGTATTTTTTCCACTGAGACTCTCAGCACTGTTCATTATGTTGAAGGCTTACTTGCTAATTCTGAATTTAGAGCCTCAAATATTCATGAGAGATTTTGTGAGACGCTTTTTTTCTGTTACTGAATAGAAATCTGAAGCAATTACGCCTTTAATTGTCCTGCCTCTTTGATCAGTAAATGTAAAAGCCAGCAGGAAGGAGAGGCTTAGCAGTCGAGCAGGTAGTCCTTACGCTGGTCAGAGGGAATGGGGCTTTGCTAGTCGTAACTCACTGCCGCTGCTCTTCACAATCCTGTTCACCAGCCTGTTACTACCGCAGCCGCACCCTGGGAATTCACTCTCGATTTAAATTTCAGAGGTTTGGGTTGAGAACTGTGATCCTTCTCCAAGTCTCTGTTAAGTTTACCAGCTTTCCCTGCCAGTCCTGGGGTATTTTCAGTCTTATGTGATCTGTGGTCTCCATCGGAAGAAATCCCAGCATTTTGGGGAGCAGAATTTGGAACACACCTTTGACTGTCAGGATGGAGATGTTCCTTTGGGTGAAGTGGTTTTTATCTCTGCTGTGATTTGTTTCTATGCTTTTACATGGACTACACAGAATTGCAAAGATGAAGGAGCTGTTGTGTAGCATGCAAAGGAGGATCAGACTTAAATGATTTGTGCCATGAAAAGGAAACGTGCGGTTCATTTTATTGTTCTAATCCCTCCCTTTCTATTTATTATCTCTGCCCCATTTAGGTTTTATCCTGCTTAGTGCAGATAGCCTCTGTACGCAGATCCCTCTTCAACAATGCAGAAAGAGCAAAGTTTTTATCTCATCTCGTTGATGGAGTTAAACGAATACTGGAAAACCCACAGGTGAGTATTTCAGGTGCAGTCAGTGGACTTGTTTCTCTGCTTCCTCTGCATCAAGTTTCTTCACCAAAAATACTTTCTAATGTACGTGTCCCACTTGTGGCACTGGGGAGAAGGGTGCAACATCTTGTTGCTCCCTTCCTTTTCCTACCATTCCACCATAAATCTGTGCCTCTTGTAACTGCCACATCTTGTGAAGTAGTGCTGCTTCTCAGTTCCTGTCCTCTTTTTCTCCTCTCAGAGCTTGTCAGACCCAAATAACTACCATGAGTTCTGCCGATTGCTGGCCCGATTGAAAAGTAATTACCAGCTGGGAGAGCTGGTGAAGGTGGAGAACTACCCTGAGGTCATCCGACTCATTGCCAACTTCACCGTGACCAGCCTGCAGGTAAAAAATAGTTTTACTTACCCTCGATGGGTTTTTATGCTCCTTGTCTTCTCTTGAAACAAAATTATAACCCTCTTGTCTGTTCTTTGCTCCTTAATTTGCCGTACGTTATTTTTACCCAAAAAAAAAACCCCAAGCCTGCAGACTGTGACAGAATCCTGCAGTGTAGCATTGATTATTCTGTGAATTCCTGCTGAATGGAATAGGAGCAGGATGTGGGGGAAGACAGGGTTGCTATGCCTCCAGAGTCTTTCCATGTCCTAGCAGGGGAAAAAAAAAAAACCAAATGTGTTAAATAAGGCTTATTTTTAGAATTATGTATCACTTCACTATTAAAATGCAGTTGCAGGGATTGCTAGTAATATGAATATCATGTCATATTCTCACTGAGTTTTCCACTGGTATACAGCTTGTAACTACACCCTTGCACAGAATATGGTTTAAAAAAAATTGTATAGCTTACATAATGCCTTTATTTGTTAAATTTTAATATTTATCTGGAAGGCAGCTTTAAACTGTACCTTCTGTTTGTGGAGATGTCTGCAGCATGCTACAGTATGAGCTCGGCACAGTAGTTTGGGACCAAAGGCTTTGGCTCAGCTACACAGCCTGGGAACTCGGCGTTATCTTTCAGTCTTTACTGAATGCTGGTAATTCCCACTGAATTCAGGTGTGAACTGAAATTCCTTGTTAAAATTGGCGACCAGATCGTTAAAGGTTTTAGATGTTACCATGTCTAGTGCTACGTGAGTCAAAATAATATGGGTAAAATAATCAAGGCCATAACTCACTGGTTTCTTTTCCTTTTCTTTCTCTTGGCTCCTGATAGCACTGGGAGTTCGCGCCGAACAGCGTTCACTATCTCCTAAGCTTGTGGCAGCGCCTGGCTGCGTCCGTGCCCTATGTTAAAGCCACAGAGCCTCACATGCTCGAAACGTACACACCAGAAGTCACAAAAGCTTACATCACGTCCAGGCTGGAATCTGTGCACATCATATTGAGGTAAGGGAAGCAGAGAGATGGCAGCACCTCTGCTTGTCAGCACCAGCCTAACGCAAAAGCTCTAGTGTGTCTCTCTTCTGAGGTTTCTTTTAAAAATGGGCATAACCGCAGGAAGCTTGCGAGTCGCCAAAGGATTTCTAAGGGAGGCTTACCTAAATTGTATATTCTGTCTCATAAAAAAGATTTGTTTGGGTGGGTTTTTTTAAGCTGGATTTTTTTAGACCTTGCTCAATCTCAAATGGCTGAGACAGATCTGAGTGGTCTCCGACATGTTATGGGTATCTGCAGCATACTGTTTACACTCTGAATTGCCGTCGTAGCAGAGAGGAATAAGTATGTGAAGTGTGATTCACTTAATTTTTAGATCTCTACTGTAGGATGGCACAAATTATAGCTAAAAAATTTTTTTTACTTCCTTTGAGTGTAGGGGCAGCTTACAGGACTCTGTTGCAGTGCCTGAATTTGTGTGGGATGAATTCTACCTTTTGTGTGTTTGATGAAAATAAATGTTCAAGCATAGAAAAATAATGCCTTGCTTGAGGAAGACTGATTGGCTTATCCCTTTTTAGGTATCTAGCAATGCAAGGGAGGAACAGCAGGTTTGGCTAGTTCTGGAGTTCGCAGTAAACCTATTGTCGACGTTAGTGTGTTTAGAGGACAAGGCAACTGAAACATTGCGAAAGATGCAAAGCTTTGTTATACAAAGACAGCCAGAGACCTTGTTCTTGGCACTGCGCATTCCGTTCAAAGACCTGGATAAACATTAAAGATGTGAGAAGAGCTTACTCATCCCAGGGCCTAATGGCCCTTCCACCTGAACAGCTACTGGTCCTCTGATTTATGGCTGCAGTAATGATCAGATGATTATGTCAGTCTGTGTAGCTCTCCATCGTGACAAATAGTAGAGGCAGAGACTTCAGTCATTGGAATTGTGCCTAGGAAAGCATCCTCTACCTGATAGCAATAAGGTTATGTTACGGTTTAAGTTATCTCTGCATTTTGAGTTCTTCTCTAATCTGTTTTCTTGCTGCTTAGGGATGGTTTGGAGGATCCGCTGGATGATACTGGCCTCGTGCAACAGCAGCTAGATCAGCTATCCACCATCGGCCGGTGCGAGTATGAGAAAACCTGCGCTCTGCTTGTGCAGCTCTTCGACCAGTCAGCCCAGTCCTACCAGGAGCTGCTGCAGAGTGCCACCGCCAGCCCCATGGACGTTGCTGTACAAGAAGGTGAGCATGTTTGGAGGACTGTGGCCTGTGAGCTTGCAGTAGGTTGCCCGTTCTCAAAAGTACCATTTCAGAAGCCTGCATTCCTGGTGTAATCCATAAATGGGGAGGCAGGTCTCACAAACGTTCCCTTGGGGAGGTGCCCGTATGGTATAGAATATTTTTGGCTATGGACATGTACTCCCAACACACACAGCAGCGCTGGCTGAAGAGATCACTATCCTACAACTGACTCCATTCCTTTTTTGGGGGGGAAATTTAGCGCATCTCCTTGCCTAGTCTTTCAGAGACAAGTTAGAGGATGTTCCCCCACCCGCAGGTGGTCTGTGCTGCCTGCCTCATCCCTCTTTTGTCTGAGGCAGTATGCAGAGTGCTCATTTGAACCTCCCCGCTGGCTCTGTGGCAGAAATCTCCAGCTGGTTGTTGGTAATGAGTAACTGGGAGCGGGGTTTTCAGCCGTGCCGCTGTCTGAAGGAGGGTGTCTGCCCACAGCATCGGGTGGGATAAGCATGGAGGTTTGGTACTTGCACGGCTGGTTGGGGTAGGAATTGCTTAACACTGACTATAAAGAAGTGGTTCCTTTGGAAGTTCTGCCTTATGCCCCCTCCCTAATAATGTAGCTGGCCTCCCCTTCTGTGGAGGAGTTGGGCGCATCACACAAGTATGGAAACTGATCCTCTTCCTTCTGAAACAGTATTGTCTGATCTAACACAGTATACTTTTTTAAAATCTTTCTTTTTGTCTGGGCAAAACTCCATATGATGTTGACTTCTCCACCAGCCACAGGTACTTTGAAAGAATAAATGCTGCCTGCTGGCATCTGCACATGTTTAAATACATAGGATACAGTTTTACAAGACAGTGGCTTTCTGCAGTGGAACAGCTTTAAGTAATGAAAATCTTCCAGGCAGACCTGGCATTCTTGTTTCTTTTCTAGTAAAGTCGTGCCCATTCTCCACCAAGTGGAAAATTGAGTAATTTTGGTGTAGATGGGCACTAAAGCAGAAAGGTACTCCTTGTGAATTCTGTCTTTGCCAAAATAAAATGCAAATCTCCTCCGCTTCCTCCGTGTAACATGTGACATGCTTGGTTCTGATGTCCTCTGTTGGTTTCAGGGCGCCTGACGTGGCTCGTCTATATTATCGGGGCAGTGATTGGTGGTAGGGTCTCGTTCGCCAGCACGGATGAGCAGGATGCGATGGATGGCGAGTTGGTTTGTCGGTAGGGATGCTGACTCTTTTCTAGCTGCACCGCTATTGAAGTCAACAAGAGAATTGCTATCATGAAGCTGCCACCATGTTCTTCCCCTCTTTTCACTGAAAAGAACAGCGTGGAATTGGCTGTCCTGAAAGAAGAGATTGGCTAGAGCCAGTCAGCAAACTTCTGTGGCTTGGCTAAATTGGGAAATCTGGGTTATGAGAAAGAGAATGAGAGGGGAAGAGCATGTAAGAGGGGAATTATACCGGGCTTAAATGCATGCATTGGAGTAGAACTAAATGCATGGTGGTTCTTTGCTGGGGTGGGGGGAAAAGTCTTTTTCCTAGTTAATAATCCAAAGTGGGTTTTGTCCTTAAAATACCCTGTGAATATTGTAGTTCTTCTATAACTGTCAAAACTTTTTACTGTCTTCTAACACATGCTGGATTTTTGGGATTGTAAATCCTCTCCAGTGCAAGCTTTATTTGATGGATGTGAGAACATACATGCAGCTTACTGCTCATGAACAACCTTGAGTCACACTGAACACTTTGTGGTCCAGAGCCTAATTGCTCTGCTTGGAAACTAGGGTAGTAAAGGAGCTAAACTGGGAATGTATGGAAGCTGACCTGTTGGTGAGCCAGTAGATAACATCACGCACTGGCTTCCCCTGTAGCTGATGAGTTACTGAAGAGGAAATGGTGAGACCCCCTATATATTTCAGCTACCTTTAATGCTAGCATATATGGTAGATGTTCACAGAAATCCTGTTTACGTTTTATAATCTTTCCCACTCCTGTGTTTTGTGGCACTTGCCGAAAAAAAAATCATTGCTTTTGTCTCCCTGGTCTGCATGTGTGTTGCCCTAAAATTCCTCCACCCCTTCCTTACCAGCCAGGTCTGCTCATCGAGCCTTGCACAGGTCACAGCATTGTTTCTGCAGGGCTTGCAACAAAAGCCAAACTGAAGTGGAGTGATGTTAGTCTGGCTCTGGGGGAGGAGCAGGTAGTGGCTTCTCAGGTGGGTTTGAGAACATGACACTGAGTAAGTGTGCTAAAGCACCCGAAACTCACTTCTGCAGCAAACTGAAACCAAAGCCTTGCAGCCCTGTTAGAAGGGACCTAGAAGCCTTATAATGACCTTGCACAGAAGAGGAATGTGCCCTAGTCAGTGTTTTGTTATCGATTTTGTCAGTTCTTAACCCAAAATGCCCATAGAAAGTAAAAAATACTGTTGCATGCAGCCTGGAAACAGCAGCACATGCCAGAAATCCCTCATTTCTCCCAGAGTCCAGCAGCAAAGTCTGTTTTTCCCTCACTTCTTCCCAGGGTGCTGCAGTTGATGAACCTGACGGACTCTCGTCTAGCGCAGGCTGGGAATGAGAAGCTGGAGCTTGCCATGCTGAGCTTCTTTGAGCAGTTCCGCAAGATCTATATTGGAGATCAGGTGCAGAAGTCTTCCAAGGTAATCAGTTCCCTTGGCTATATGGTCATGCCAAGTCTAGTAAAAGCTTCCCTTTTTAAATAAAAGTGGCATTACTTATTTTCTTTTCTTGATAGCTGACAAGACACTTAAGACATTTGACTGGTGTTTTCTAGATATGTGCCCAGTATTAACATTGCAAACCCTGAGCCGTTTTTGAAATACCACGTTCTGTGTGCGTCAGGAAGGAGCCAGTGACTGACAGTAGCCTAGAACTCGAGACCTGTGTTCAGGTTTTTTTATTCACCAGGTTTCTGCTGTGATTTCAAATGAGTCCCTTAAGCCTAAATACCTGTGAAAGTGTGTGGGTCGCACCACCTCATACACCCATGAGTAACCTGAGCTTCGTTAGCATCTGTGCCTTGCTTCCTCGGCTCTAAAGTGAAGATAAACATCCGTTCTCTTCATCACAAGGCAGTTGTAGATGTACTGGACTTTCAATGCCTTGGTGCATCTTTAGACATGCAAAATACCTTTTTTTTAATTAAAAAAAACATGTAAAGAATGGGAACATCATTACTGCAGAATTAGGTTCTCTTCCTTTCCAGTAACCTATGACTTTCCTTCCCCACCTCAGAGACGTCGGAGCAGTGATGTGACACAGGGCTTAGAGCTCCAGACAAATTCACTAAGATACCGCGTGTATGTGCAGGTAGAGGAGCACAGTTGTTACGTCCCCTTTCCCTAGGAAAAGCAAGGGCGCAGCTTCTGTGTGCAGTATTTGAACCCGCTATGACTAGCGATAGGAAAGCGGTAGCAGTGATTAGGGCAAGTATTGGTCTGGATCAGATCACAAGCATCTCTGTGCATTGTTTGACTGATCTGGGAAAGCCCAGAGCATGCACCCTCCTAAGCATGTGTGCCACAAAGGGAGAGCAAGTGAAAACAAAATAATTCTTGATCATCACTTGTTTTGTTGACAGCTTTTAAATTGGTGTTATTTTTTCCCCTCCAGCTGTACCGCCGTCTCTCAGAGGTCCTGGGGTTGAATGATGAGACCATGGTCCTCAGCGTCTTCATAGGAAAAATGTAAGTGTTCTTGATTGCAGGCATCAGAGATTCCAGGGTTTATTTGAAAGTGTGACCAGGAAAACTGGAATATGAGGGAGTGTTGTTCAGTCTAGTAACATCTGGCTACTTGAGAGAATTACAGCTTTTACAGAGCTTAAGTCACGCACAATATCCAGGATTGATTTATCCACCGTGGATTCTAGCCTGGGCTATGGAGACACAAAAATAAGCTGTACACCGGGATAATGGATTCTCTTTCCAGTGCCTGCTTAGTAGAACCAAAGTCAGAGAGGGGACAGCCTCGAGCACTCACGCCCTGTCACTTGACTATTGGTAATCACCAGCCACGAAAGCTCTATGGGGAGGGAACTGCTCCTTCAAAGGTTTTCTTTGCAAATCCTGCTGTTCAGTACCAGAGTAGCGCAAGTCTTTTTCTTAAAATCCTCCCACTCTGATAAGCACCCTATTCAGCCTGTTCCTCGGCAGCTGTCCTCTGGACCGAACCTGTTGACTGGCTTTTTGTCGTGTCTTTGGCAGCCTCCGTTAGCATTTTGAGCCAATTCAGTAGCTCCAATGCTGACGCCCAGTGCCGTGCGCCTGGTGCCGTGCAGCCGCTAGCTCCCCCTCAACTTCTTTAGCATCAGCCCCGTCTTTATTTGCATGGGGCCTTGCCTACTCTCGCGCGCCCTGGCTGCGCGTCATCCCCAAGGGGTGAAATGGCTCTCCTGGAAGAAGCAAGGGCTACTAGAATTCTGCAGCTGACAGTGGATGGTGCAGGTGCAGAATTGCATACGTCTGCATGTAGTCACTGCCGCAGAATTCTCTTACCCTTGCTGCAGAAACCAGCCCTGGAGTGCCACAGAATTCCAAGGGCCTGGGTATGGGCCAGTGTAGCTTGGGACCCAAGTAGTGAAGATTATCTGAAGGATAATTTTCTAGTCAACCAAATGTAAGTACAGTAATTTTATACCAATATTTTGTGGCTTGTGATGTCTGTGGTTTCGGTGGAGGGTGGAGCTGATGATGTTGGGTGACTTTTGAACTGGAAGAATCCACCACACAGCAAAGGGGAAGCCGAGCAAACCCCTCTGATCCATCCTTGTTGTCCTCTTCCGTAGCATCACCAACTTGAAGTACTGGGGTCGATGCGAGCCTATCACCTCCAAGACGCTGCAGCTGCTCAATGACCTCTCCATTGGATATCCTTTTCAGAAGAGCTGTTGGGTGCGCAGGACACTTAAACCTCAGGATGGGGGAAGAGTGATCCAGATGCTCGGCTGGAACAGGAGCACTCTGCGTGTAACAGATTCCTGAACCACTTCATCTTTGGGGTAGTGAGAAGAGTGCGAGCACTTGGTCAACGTCTTATCTAGCTGTTGAATTGCAGTAGATGTCTATAATATTGCAGGATTGGGTTTTTTATTATTTTGGATCATAATTGTTTTGTAGCTTACTGTCCACAGTTAATTTGTTTACAATCACAGTCTGTCTTTTGGTCTTCTACTTGTTCTTTCTGGCAGAGTAAATAAAACCGGTCGCTGCAGGTCTCTCTAGTAGAGAGGTACGCAACTTGGTTGCTCTTGAAATAAATGGAAGAGAGGCTAGAACATATTGACTAATACAGATGTAAGTCCCCTTCCAGTTTTGCCCCGGAAAGTGCTTTGCCAGCACTGCAAGAAGTTTTCTGCTGAGCCTGCTGCTTCCTTAACACCCCCTTTACATACAGTAGTGTTAGAAAGCTGGTGAAACTCAGCGCCGTACAGTTCATGCTGAACAATCACACGGTAAGTCCTTTCACCTTCTGCTTTTCGTCTCCCAGCAAACTCCTCCATCTGCCTTTGTGCGGCTGAGATAATCCCCTAATTTTAACACCCGGACACACTTTTGAAGTTTACCTGTCTCCCAGATGCTTCCATCATACTAGATGAGCCTCTAGAAAACGTGACCTGTGTTCCATCTCTCTTTGTTCAAAGCCACCCTTCAATTTTGAGGGGCTGTAATTAATTATGTGGTTAATGTGGGGGTCTCTTTACTCTCCACTGAAAGACAGCCATCTCCAGAGTGAAATGCAGGAGAGGGCTGGTACTGCTGCACATGCAGGCAGACAGCAGTGAGCACAGTTTATGCAATTTAATGCAAAATATAACAGCATTTCAGTGCCCCAGCTGTCATTCTAAAAGTGCTGATTTGGAAGAAGTGCCGTCACTTGCAGTGGTCAGGATAGCAGCCTTGTTCCTTGGTCACTACTGGAATGGTGCTCCCTGTGCAGATCTGGGATGCTGACTTGAAATCAAAAATGTTAGAACGAGCAACTTAAAGCCAGCAGTAAAGTATCAGATTTCTGACTTGCCTCTGGGAGCTTGTGGTCATTTGATGCTCCAGTGCTGTAGCGATAGGACTCCCAGCACCGTGTCCAGAAGGTTTGCGTTGCCCAGTTGAATGAGGCGCTGTGTTCCTGGAGCTAGGGCATGTTTTGTGGGCAGTCCCACCTTCTGTGTTTGGCCCAGAAGCTGTGTTCAGGCTGCATGGTCTGGGGCTACTGTTTCCATGAAGAATGTGAGCAGAGGAACTGCGCATCCATTTGCAGAGGGCTGTTTTTTCAGCAACCTTAATGCCTGAAGGGCCCCCATGAGTTAAGGGGGACAGCTTCTGCTCTGGAGGCAAAACAAGACTTCCTTGTTCATCTGCTCCTGGGGAATTCCAAGATGAAAGATGATAGCGCTGGTGTCTTTGCCAGTAGATAGAGCTGCTCCGGGGCGTGCAGGCGTGGTGCCTGTTGCCCTCTGGTGGCTTGTTCTCAGAGATGGCTGGCAGACGTGAAGTGCTTAGCAAGATAACCACGTAGCTCTGCTTCCCATCCTTGCACAGGCTGAGAATTAGACATTTGAACAAAGGAATCCTCAGCCCTTGATGCAGGAGCCCATTCAAGGTGGTGGTTCCCCTCTAACCCATCTCTTCTCTTCCATTTGCAGAGTGAGCACTTTTCCTTCCTGGGCATTAACAATCAGTCCAACCTGACTGACATGAGATGTCGGACTACGTTCTACACTGCACTTGGGCGTCTTCTCATGGTGGATTTAGGTACTTGGGTCTTTTCCTGGGAACCAGAGCAAAATGATGACTTTGTGGTTTGGATGCTGGGCTCTGCAGTAGGCTAGGTCCTGCTATTTAGGGAGCCATAAGCTCCTGCAGGAAAGGATGCTGGAATGGAAGAAGCCAAATAGGATAAGAAAAAGGAGCAGAAAGAAGCTCAAGAGTGGGTTTGGTGCCATGTTGCTGGGTACAGGTAGTCCAGGGGTGCACACCGCCAAGGCTGGGGCTAAATTTTTCGTTGATAATATTCCACATGTTTTCCTGAGGTGGCAGGGTTGGTTCTAAGACATTGGCAGTCATAGATCACCTGTCTGGAAACCTCTGGTCTCTCTGCCTCTAGCTCCGTGGGTGAGCAAGGTCTGAATATCTAGCGCAGGCAGTACTGCAGGGCACAGGGATGTGCAATCTATTTCCTCCTGATTTCTCTTTTTTTTTTTTAATTCTTTCAGGGGAAGATGAGGATCAGTATGAGCAATTCATGCTTCCCCTCACAGCTGCCTTTGAGACAGTGGCACAGATGTTCAGCACAAATACTTTCAATGAACAAGAGGCAAAAGTAAGTTGGGCGGGACCTTCCCTGTTATCC